GCTTAATAGCCTACTTATAAGCAGTAAAGGTCATGAATACATTTGTCGTTTACGACATAAGATCAATGTGCAGTGAATGTAACAATATTTTGTGAGTAGCATCAAGATAGAAGTAAAGGCATTTAACCCCACAGGCAATAGAAATCAAGAAGGAATATACAGCTTGATTGCAGTTAAGTATACAAGAATCCTCGATAAATAGTGGTCGTGCATCCCACACACCATCCACAGGCTAATGTTGAAAGGACTACGATAAAGATGCACTTCTACAAGTCGTCGTAGGAGACCTATCGTACATCCAAAAATGTCCCCACATATGCACTGTAATATTTATGCACATAAGTACACAGAAGGGCACATGCAATCATATACCTGCATAGGCCCCGATGAGCGTGTTATGGGTGCACATGTGATGTCTAGCTATATTGCGTGGGTTAATAAATGAAGTTTGAGCCCAATCCTTCTATGTGGATAAATAGGGGTTGCACGGCTCGAACTGTCAAACATATATACAATCAAGGTGTCAACCATGATATTTGTTTTATACATTCATATTACGCCTTTAAGGTATATAGCAAAAGAAATTCACCAACAAAAAATATAAAGCCTATGAACCTGATCTTATGTCAACAGCTAGACAGAGTCAACAATGTTCAATCAATAAAATATAAATACCTGTAAATAACCTGATGATGGACGCGTTGAATGCAAATCTCAACTGGATGGATCAATTCAAAATTTAACACTCAAACACCCACCAAATCCAAAATCTAAAAATTCAAAAATCCAAAGTTCAAGAAATTTAAAATTAAAGTTAATCATCAATCACGTAAATCAAAATATATCCATCCTCCGCAACAATTTGCCGAGATGGACAAATTGAAAACTATTTCAGCTCACAAAAAGCTAATTTCTGATCGAGAATATTACTAGGATTCATTCTCAAACAGTCTCTTGCCTCTAAGGACGTGGCATGTGTCCTCTAACATGCGGTTTTACTGCTAAATGGCACCGTAGAATAAATGGTTATGACTGGGGCCCTTTGAACTGGGTGGTTTGCCGCCAAATGACACCATTAAATTACCATTGTGGCTAGACCCCGTATGCTCCCTAATGACATTAAATTCTTGAGAGATGAATCAATAGGATATAATTGATAGGGCACAAAGCCCTCTGTTAGCTAAGGTGGATTCAAATTTGTCCCCTTAGACAAATACCCATCACAGGTCTACAAGGTATCCTTCAACGACGCAACCCATGGCTGCTGATAAGAATGCTTCTGTCAGGTTGGGTCGATTACCTACTATGACTAAGTAGATGAGGGACCACGATGGCCTAGGACGACGAAACCATGGGATTTTGATCGGGTCCATCATCCATTCCCCCACCATTCGCTTTAAGTGCAAGGTGGTAACATTTCAAATTTTAAATATCAAAATTTCAACATCCCAAACCCATGCTGCTGCTACATGCCAGATATACGTATTTATACGTATCTCATTGGCTACTAAACTTAATAAAAAATTCTCTCTCGTCATCGAGAGGGATAATTAATTATAGGGACTTGCGTCTATAGGAAACCATAACTAAGATCATAAAGTCCTCGCAAAATGAGGGCAAAATCTCTGGATAGTGTCTTATCTTCAAACCCAATCTGCCTTCCCAAAATTTACCTCAGAACTTAATCAGTTAAAACTCCCCCGAAAAGCAACGGGGAGGCCGGGGCCGAATTTTTGGAGCTTATAGATGGCCTGGTAGTTGTTCAACCTTATCAAATGTTCTTCAAGAAGATGACAATCTTTGTGATAGAGTTATTATCTTGCTTGATAGTCTGCAGTTTTTACTTTGTTCTTATATATTTGGGCAACATCCTTTGCTTTTGAATATACCTATCTCACTGTTACGGCCCGACCCGGATGTTCGACTTAACGAGACAGGAACTAAAAGTCGGATAGTAGAATTAGTTCAATACAATTCATCAATACAACATACAACTTTTTCATTGTACTGAAGAGCCACTGTTTCTTAATTTCCTCGAATACTTAACATTGTATAAATAATAAATTTTCTATTTTCATTTGCACGCCGTCTTCTATAGACAAATTCTTTCCTTCCGATCATTTCTAAATCTTTCGAGACTTACTTGAAAATATTTATTTAATGGAATGAGTTTACAAAGTAAACTTGCTGGGTAATTGTTATAACAATTAACATGCCTAAAGTACAATACATATAACCTTTGATATATGTCCATTCAGTTAACATTTGAAATACATTTCCTTTCTTTGGTTCATTTCATTCCATTTATTTCTTTATACATACTATATCATATTCTTTTATAGCATTTACTTTAACATATATTCCTTTTCTCATTTATTTTGTACAGGAGCATCGTCTAAATGTACTACCATTTCCATTTACTTTTACTTTTCCATAATCTTTTCCTTTTTACCTGCACGGGTACTTTGCTTTTCCAGCCAGTACCATACAGAGGTGAACTCCTATAATTTGCATGCATATCCTTTTTCTTTTTTCCTTCATTCATTTATACTTTTATTTATACTGTAGATCATATCATTCTTTTCCTCATTCCTTTCTTATATTCTTAGGTATATAACTATAACGCATTTTTTTTCAACTTCATTTCCATTTCTTTTACATATACATTTATATTCTTCATTTTAGTTATTTGAATTCATTTAATGTCAACATTCATCATTATACATGCATTTGAATCGTCTCACATAATGACATGAAAGATAAGTAAAATAAAAGTTCTATAATAAAATGTTTATACACAATGGTAATTTAGCCACTTTGATCTTTCAAATCTTCTATCCTTGTCACAACTTAAAGAGATACATAATAAAGCAAATTTATATATAATTAACTTTCATCAAATCTTTTCATAAACATCTATCAAATAAATTTTTATGTTAGCCTCAATTTCTTTTCTTGTTGAATTCTTAAAGAACCCAACTCCTAAAATTTGCTTTATTTCCTTCTAAAATTCCTAAAATTAAATAATATAAATTTTCATGAAAATATGATTTAATAATAAATCTAAGAAAAATTATATGATAGGAATTTTTACTTACAAGAAGGGGATTTTCCAAATTCCAAAATCTTTTTCTTTTTTTCTCAAAATCTCTTCCCCTCGCTTCTAAATCTCTTATTTTTTTTCTTTTTTTTCTCAAAATCTCTTCCTCTCGCTTCTAAATCTCTTCCTTTTCCCTTTAAGAAAGTATCATTTACGTTAAATTAAGTAAAACAAAGAAATTTATATGAAAAATGTAAAGAAAATCCAACAAACCTTCTTCCCTCTTTCCCTCGGTCATTCCTCTTGTTCGTTGAAATTTCTTCCAAATTATCTCTTCGTTAGCGGTAGGAAAGAGAAGGAATCAATAAATCTTATCCTCCCACGCAGTCGTTCTCTTAAAATGGCAAAACGGATCTCAATTTCCTTCCTTCGCATGCGTTCGGTCCGCCCAACCCCGCCTCTGTCTCGATCCGTCCCTTCCTGTTCGTGAAACATGCTTGTGGTTATTAATAGGAGGCCGGCCGATTCAATTGAACCGGCTAGATGAACCAGTTGTCACACTCACGGTGTCTAAATTCCTTTTATAGCCGGTAGAAAAATGTACTTGTGAGTAATTTATGGATTTGATGAATTTTCTTGCCGGGATATATCATTAAATCTGCCTCATCCCAAGTATCCTTGCTTCAAACTGCTACTAACTAGATGATTTAGTTTTTCTTTCTCTTTGAAAAAAGGTTCTAACTAATTGCGAGCAATTTAATAAAATTTTCACCTTTATTATATATGTAGCTTAGATATTTTATGGATCTTCTGATGGTTGATAAAATTTTATTTCTTCAAAGTTCCTTGGAACGATTAGTTGGAGTAGACACCATTGTCTGGGGCATGAGTAATGACTTTAGAGCTTTTCAAGAACCTGAAATTGAAGGAGAGATGGAAGAGGGGACGATTTACTCCAATAAAGATCAAAGGGGCTTACCATCAAAAGTTTACTATACTAGGTGGTTTTTGAATATAGCAAACAAGATGAGGAAGTCCTTGGATAGGAAACCCAGAAGGAACTTAAAGAGGAATGACAATGAAGTCCAAGAAAAAAAAAATAATTCCAAGATAATCCTACCCTTGGGGCTTTGATACTATGTTGAAAATTTTGAGAGAATTATATATGTTTCACTTTAATCTAATTACAAGAAATTTGTGGCATATACAAGCTATACCTAGAGAAAATAAAGGAAACATATATATATATATATAGTCACTTTGAATGAAGTCAATAAATCTAAATGAAAATAATTCAGTATTTTTTAACATTGCTTCAAAATAAGTGTATAATACTATACTAGTGTGCATGAAAACATCCTGAGATAATATTTCAAGTTAATTGGATGGTGTTCAAGAGGATTGATTAAGAGATCTTAACTCTTCCCATTTGTCTATTCTTTATCTGGGTTGGGATGAATTTTTGATGGGATGGATTTCACCAACACTGCAATAGATCTCTAGTACTTCTTCCAACAACACTTAAACTAACCAGATCTTTTTTCTTCACAGGGAAATTAATGATGCATAGGATGCCACTCTTGGATGTCAATCATAGTATCATTGACAAATTTGTCATGGTTTTTCTTTTTAATGAAAATCTATCTTTTTTTCTCGTTGGATGCACCATATTTCCACAGTTATGCTACTGACACTACATTAATAGGTGTTAAATATTGTAAGAGATTCCCCTTCTGAAGGCTAGTAAAATTTATTGATTTTACCCAAATGTCTTTATTGTTTGAATGTGATCATAAAGCAACTTCCTTGTACTATTTGTTTACCTTTTGAAATTCACACATGTTTTGGAAAAAAAATTCAATTTATTAGGTTGTGAATTTGTCACTTCATAATGGTTTAACGCATCTTATTTGCACGTGCATATCTATATCCGTCCAACTCATTCTTGTTTCTTGTGTAGGATATGATGAGGTTAGATGAAATTGAACTAATACTTTCAAAGGGCCTGCCAAATATTCACCATGTGAATGACTCCATGAAGGTACAAAGATTTCATCTATATATTTAAATTGCCAATTTATAATTCTTGGAAGCCGAGGAGAATAGTTCTGAATTAAGGAAAGGATGAACCTTTCATTCTTGCCCCTTAAAATGAGATTATAGATTATCCTATATATGGATAGTACTTAGAACTTGTGAATTAGTGGCAAGGGTATGAATGACGATAGTGGATTTAACTCAAATCCCATGCATACCGCATATAGATATGCATGTAACCTGCATAGTACATAAATTTCTTTGTATATTATTATATTGCATGTTGCTATGGAGATTTAGGGTGTTAATATAGAAGGATGGTTAAAAGTGCCTATGCTTTTGTCCTCCTTTGAAGCTCTTACTGAGCAAAGTTGTGCGGGTTGCTTTCTCTGTTTTCCAATCATGTTAAATTATACTGGGTTATTGACAATGTTGCAGCATGATAATAGCCTACAACTGAGTAGGGATTAAGAATGTATTGCACCATATAAAAAGAAAATTCAATTTCTGCAATTGTTAGAACTTTGCCTAATATTCAATTAGTCAATTTGTTGTAGAACTGAGGAATTTATTTTTCCCAAAATATAAAATATTTTGATGACTTTTTAGCCTTCAGATCGACTAAACAATATTTAACTAAGCTTAGAGGTATAATACAAATGGAGATGAAAAGAGGAAATTATCTAAAATGTAAATACTAATGGAAGTAGTGACAACCATATAAACAAGAAAATGATTGCTTATAGTCAAAACCATTTAGGATAACCTAAAGATGTTTTCCATCAGACTCCATAAGTTTTTCTGATGCCCCTTTCAAAAGTGAAACGCTCGCCAAAAAGAGGTCAAACATATGCTTGGCTGCTGAAGGGGTGCATCTGTTTTGCAGCTTCTTAACTTTTGATTTAACATATCTAGTATTCTAGTGGGGTTTTATTTTTCTATTTGTTTAAATTTTAATTCTTCCCCGTTCTTTATATGGTATCAACTATATTGTCTCATGCCATGATCATGAAATTTTATTGAATCAGAAAACATCCACCCTTTGACCTTAACTCTTGTTTGGGAAAATAAATTAACCTCGGATCAAAATAAGTGATTGGTGAACCGTTACTCAATTTAAGATGTTGATAAATTTATGTGCTAAAACCATGAATTAATCTCAAGCTTAAAGGATGAATGTTCTATTGGCCTAGAGAGCATACATAGGATGAGTGTGGGGGTGAAGGGTGGGGGTGTTGAATGAATATTTTATAAAATAAATAAAAAATGTAAAAGTAAATCAATTTGACTTACACACTGTGAGTGGTGTGAAGAGTATCACAAAGACCACATGAGTTTGAGAGAGCGAGATAACAAAATTTAAAATGAAAGCACAAGAAGATACATCAGTGTTTATATCGGTTCTGCTACCCAGCATGCCCACATTCTTTCTTCTAGACCCCCCTTAGGAATTGCACGAAGCTGTCTTTCACCAATTTCAGGAAGACATAATCTTACAATACTAGGATCCTTCTCTTTCAGTTTAGGGCGAAATTCCAGCCTTTTTTATGGGCTCAAGGAAAGCCCATACATGAGTAATTAAGAATAAAAAAGCATGAGTAGAAACTCTAGCAAGAGATATAATAAAATAAAAAACAAAAGCATTTATTACAACAGGAATCCTTCTCACAACTGATCTTGCAATTCAAACAACTTAGATATCTATGAAAATCAATCAAACCATTAACCAAGTTAGAGACGAAAACATCCAAACTCAAAATCTTAAAACACCTAGCCTCACAAGATGCAGCAGAGAATCTCAATAACACCGCAATGGAGGCTTTGTAAGTTGAAGTTTGAATTGGCTACACATGATGATGCAAAACAAAAAGGTCCAAATATGAAGATTCTATGTTAGTTATGAGTTTAACATGTTATTATTTTATGAAGTTATAAGTTTATGCAAAAATCGATGATATTTTTGATAATTCGTGAGGACTTATTTATACTTAATTGGATAAGTGGAGTAGAAAATGGTGTAAATAAATTGGAAAATGAGTACCTAAATTGGATCCTACGACTCACGTACTAGCACAACCCTTAACTGAAATTACGAGTTTATTTTCTAGTGGTGTCATTGCCTTCCTTTATAGCAATGTGGTTGACTTCCTAGAGAGTCACCATTATGCAGGAGGGGCAATACAAAGGCCATTTACCTTCCAATGATGTATGCGGTCACAGGATATTATAATTGATGGGATTCCTATCATCACCACCCCCTAAATACTTGATGTTGGAGAGTATTAAAGATTCAAATCTTAATTTGAGGTGACTCAGAAGATTAAACCCTTAAACATCATGTTCTGGCCCCCATAAATCAAAATCCCTCAATATCAGTGATGGCTGCAATTACTGAACATCATATCTAGGGGAACTAAATCTATAGTCACCGATGTCTCTTCTCATGCTGCATAAGTCCTTCACCTTAGCTACTCATTGCCTTGATAAATTTATAAATTTCAGTTAGAGGGGACCAAAAAGATTAAAGCGTTAGATCTTCTGGTCATGGGCCTTAACAAATTCTATGCCCGTTATTCCATTGTTGGCTGCATCAAAAGAATATCAAAATTGGATGCATCATGGTCCACCATGCATCTTGAACTTTACAATAAGATCACCCTCATTATTTTACACTTATATTGAAGACAGAAAATTTTATGTGGAAAACATAATCTCCATAACTAGAAAAAAGTTAAAAAAACAGTGTTTTATCTACATCAACAACAACAACAACAACATCAAGCCTTTATCCCACTACGTGGGGTCGGCTACATGAATCCTTTTTCTCCATTGTGTTCTATTAAAAGTCAAATTCTCATTTAAACCTAATAAAGAAAGGTCATTCCTAATATTTTCTAACCAAGTCTTTTTAGGTCTACCCCTACCTTTCTTAACATAAGTCAAATCTAATACCTCTACTCTCCTAACCGGGTCATCGAAAGGCCGTCGTTTTATGTGACCAAACCATCTAAGGCGACTCTCTCTAATTTTATCTTCTACTGGAGCTACTCCAACCTTTTCACGTATATGCTCATTTCGTATCCTATCTCTAAGGGTAAAGCCACTCATCCACCTGAGCATTCTCATCTCTGCCACACTTAACTTAGTATTATGCTTCTCTTTTAATGGCCAACATTCGGCACCATAAAGCATTGCAGGCCTCACTACCATCTTATAGAATTTTCCTTTAAGTTTGAGGGGTACATTTCTATCACATAACAAGCCCGATGCATTCCTCCACTTCAACCATCCAACTTGAATTCTGCTGATAATATCCCCATCTATTTCACCATCACTTTGAACAATTGATCCAAGATATCTAAAACGTGTACTCTTATTAATGACTTGATCGCCCAAAGTCACAATCCCTTCAGTAGGTCTATTACTACTAAAATTACACTCCATATATTCCGTTTTAGATCTACTCAAGCGAAAACCTTTAGACTCTAAGGTTGACCTCCATAATTCAAGTTTACCTTCAACTCCCTCTCTAGTCTTATCAACAAGAAGAATATCATCAGCAAAAAGCATACACCAAGGTACATCATCTTGCAAATGTCTAGTGAGAACATCCAAGACTAAAGCAAAAAGATATGGGCTTAAGGCTGATCCTTGATGTAACCCAACCGAAATAGGAAAATACTTGGTCAATCCACCTTGTGTTTGAACACAAGTAATAGCTCCTGCATACATATCTTTAATGATTTGAATATAAGCATTATTAACTCCTTTCTTTTCAAGAACTCTCCATAGCACTTCTCTTGGAACTTTATCATATGCTTTTTCTAAATCAATAAATATCATATGTAGATCCTCCTTATTTTATCTATATTTCTCCATCAAACCTCTTAATAAATATATGGCTTCCATAGTCGACCTACCCGACATGAATCCAAAGTGATTTTGAGAAGCATCAATATCACGCGGTAGCA